TTGGTTAAGAGAATTCTCTTCTATTCCTGGTTTTCTGAATGTTCTTATCACGAAAGGCTGAATTTTGTCCAATGCCTTTTCTGCCTTGACATGGCTGTTTCCTCCCACTCTGTTCTACTAATGTGGTTCTGCTTATTTTCTTACTAGAGGCCCAATGCATGAAGATTCGTATAAGAATGGGCCTTCTTTCCCCTGGCTGCTGGCCCTGCCTTCGCTCTGGCCCAGAGCTGCCCAGAGGCCTGGGGTGGCTGGGGCAGTGCGGAATGCCATGGCGACAATGCAGGCATCCTGCCTTGCCCCACCCCACCCCCGCCGCTTGGCACCTGCAAATTAACCTGCCATCTTTGTTGGGTTAATTTGCATGCTCACCCCTGATGGGCTGGTGGGCATTGTGAAGGTACGGTCAATTTGCATCTTTCTCTTTTATCAGTGTAGATAGCGAACCACCCCGGGCCTCCTGGGGCAGATCCCCTTCGGTCATAGTGTGTAATCCTTTTAATATGCTGTGGGATTTGGTTTGCTGGTATTTTGTTGAAAAAATTTGCATTTATATTCATAAGGAATACTGATCTATAGTTTTCTTGTGATGTCTTTGTCTGGCTTTATTATGAGGATGATATTGGCTTCACCAAAGAGAGTTGGCAAATGCTTCCTTCTCCTCTGTTTTCAGAGTTTATAAGGAATTAGTACTATTTAATCTTTAAACGTTTGATACAGTGCAAACAAACCCTGGCAAGCCATCTGGGCCAGGGATTTCTTTACAGGAAGATTTTAAATTACTAATTCAATTTCTTTGTTGTAATCTATTCAGACTTCTAATTTCTTCCCGAGTCAGTTTTGGTGATTTGTGTCTTTCTGGCAATTGTTCCTGTTCATCGATGTTGTCTATTTGTTGGCGTAAGGTTGTTACAGCATTGTCTTGTAATTCCGTTGATTTCTGTAGAGTTGATGCTTGTTTCCTTCCATTGCTGATTTTGATCATTTGTATCTCCTCTCCCCTTTTCTTGGTTGGGCTATTTTGTCAATTTTGTTGATTTTTCCAAAAAACCAACTTGATTTTTCTATTATTTTTCTGATTTCTATTTCACCTATTTCATTAGTATCTTTATCAGTTCCTTTCTTCAGCTTGCACTGGATTTATTTTGCTCTTATTTTTAAAATTTATTAAGGTGAAAGCTTGGATAATTAATTTCAGATCTTCCTTCCTTATTAATTTATTCCCCCCCCCCCTTTTTTTACTGTCCTAAATTATTAGGTAAGGATTTTACAAACATTACTTATATTAGCAGTAACGGTGGAACTGGAGAGTAGTGTGCCTTCTCCAAGCTGCACTACGAGAACCACTAATAGTGTGGTGGGACTTGTGGCCCTTTCTAAGGCCACAGCTCTTGTGCCTGCAGATGTCAGCCCTCACATCTCCCTGGGCTTGCGGACTGGTTTGGTGATCCACTAGGTGTCAGGATTTCTTCTGATAGCCTATGGAATGGAGCAGTGAGGATAACCTCCAAGAATTTGTGTGTGGAATCTTCACCAACCCAGTGAGAATTCAGGACTCTCAGAGCCCCAGAGTGGTGCCCAGCTAGCTCCTCTGCAACATATTGAGGCTTCCAGCAAACTTCAGCTGGTTAGCACCATGGTGGACAGGCTTGCCACTGGCTGCATCCTTAGGAACAGGGTGTTTGTGGCCACCACAGCACACACGAGTCCAATATATGACATGACCTTGTATTCCAGTCTGCTGTGCTTTATTGGGCTTGGTAGGCAGGGGTCCCAGTGGAGCGCAGGGAGCTGGCGTACTGCCAGCAGCACAGCCTGAAAAGAAAGCACATTAAGCTGGCCTGCTTCTTCCTCCATAGCTACTGGATGTACTTGTAAGGGCCCATCTTGGTTTACCTGACGGCTGTGGGCAGCTGGGAAGGAAAAGACTTTCTCCCACAATCCCTTTTGGGCTCCTCCTCTTCCTTTCAAATATATGTATTTAAAACCATAAATTTACCTTGCAGTGCTTTAGCTACTTCCCATAAATTTTGATATGTTGTTTTATTTTCATTCCAAAATATTTTTAAACTCACCTTGTGATATCTTTAACACATGGGTTACTTAGAAATGGGTGTTTCCGTCTTGTTCATCACTGTATCTCTAACACTAAGCGCTGTACTTAGTATATGGTAAATGCTCAATTTCCAAATATCTATAGATTTCCCAAATGTCATTCTGTTGTTGATTTCTAATTTCATTTTGTTGTGATAAGAGGATATATTTGGTATCATTTCAATCCTTTTACATAAAAGGTATTAAGACCTGCTTTACAACCTAGCATATGGTGTATACTGAAGAATCTACCAAGGGCCCATGAAACAAATGTGTATTTTGTGGCTATTATTGGGTACAATGTTCTGCACATTTTTATAAAAGACATGCATTCTACCTCTAGGAAATCTGCAACTTAATGCAGGAAGCCACATGGTAAATGACAGTCATATGCACATACTATAAAGTACTCACCCAAGTACATATAGGAGGTGGTGAAAAGAAGAATGCGTTTCCCAAAGATCCAACCTCTGAATTTCAGGAAGAGGAATTACGAGGGAGAAGCTATAAAATGGACTTAGATTTATTAAGAAAAAGGTACTGTTATTTAAAAAAAATGATTGAAATTTTAAAGCTGATTATTCATGAATATCAGGGTTCCCATTCAGATTGGTTTGGAAAAGACAATTTATCACTGACCTATGGATTTTCTAAAATCACATTTATTATAGAAAATATTTATAACCTTATCACGATTAATTAATTACTCCACATAAACTTTAAATAGAAGACTTAGAAGTAAGCTGGAAAAGTCAATTTAATTGCTGTCCTAACTCTTTAAAATTAGGTCCTGAGCTTCCTTTTAAAATCAGGAAAATATGATCTGCTACATACTTTTTATTACCATAGAGGAATAAGTATATCACTTGTTTCAGAGAAAACAAGGCTTTTTCATCAACATTCAATTCTAAAAGATTCCTCATATGAAACTTGGGGAACTTCTCCATATCATTTTAAGTGATGAAAACCAAGGGCATATAAAGACACAACTCAGTAAAGGACAATGTTCCTTTATTTTCTTTAAGGTAATGGGAGTAATGAGACTCTGACAACTCAGTTTAAACAGCAGGTACTTGCTATTAGAGTTCTTTGAAAAAAAAATTTGCTTTAAAAAAAGATTTAATAGTTTTTTAGTGGATTATGTTTTATACTTTTTAATTTTCCTTTTGGAATTGAGTCCAAAATCTTCACAGGAATTCTCTATCTTATTCTATTTTATATAGAGAACTACAAAATCCTATTGTCTGGCCTGATCAACTTGGACTTTTATCTAAGAACTAGAGGCCTGATGCACAAAATTCCTGCAAGATAGGCCTTCCTTCCACTGGCTGCTGGCCCCGGCTTCCCTCCTACACCCAGGACCTGGGCTTCCCTCGTAGCCCCGGCTTTGTCTGGTAGGTCTTCCTGGAAGGACGTCCAGTCTAATTAGCATATTACACTTTTATTATTATAGATTGTGCAGAATAGAGACAGATGACCTTAGGACTTCTCAGCTACTGTGCAAACTCAAAATGCGCCCCCTCCCCTACCCGCTGCACACACATTTCCAAACACCCAAAGAGCAGTTCTATCCCAACCACGACACTAAGCCCATCCCTATATTTCAGCTTCATCTCATCTTTCAGGCTCAATGTTTCATAGTTGCCCAAACATGACATTCTCTTTTTCTGTCCCCTCTAATTGGAATACTTTTCTTTGACTCTCTCAATTGGATTACTTCTAACTTCTCCTTCAGATCCCAGCTGACATTTCAACTCATTTTGGAAACCCTTACTGATCTTCCAAACTGAGATTAAGTGTTCCCAAGGGATCAAACTCTATGTAATTGCCTGGTTGTATCTTTAACTTTCCCACTAGTCTGTGAGCTCTGGGTATCTCTGTCTTGTTCATAACTGTATATCTAACACTGAACATTGTACTTAGCATATGGTAAATGCTTCATCAATATTTATTGAGTGAATAATAAATGAGGAAAGGGAGAAAATAAGAAACATCCAGTTGTTTATCCAGCAGTCTAAAGCAGAGACATTATGTCTGGTAGATATAAGTATCCTACCAATTAGCAAAGTCCCCATTTTTCAATGCAATCCACTTTTGAAAATGCTTCATAAAATGAGTGCTGAAGATTATATTTGCACCAATAGCTCAAAGATATGACCAGCAATGCCATAAAAAAATGTCTCTAACTGCCCAGCCGGTGTGGTTCAGTGGTTGTATGTCAACCCATGCACCAAGAGGTCACAGGTTTCATTCATGGTCAAGGCACATGCCTGGATTTTGGGCTCGATCCCCAGTAGGGGGTGTGCAGGAGGCAACTGATGGATGCTTCTCTCTCTCTCTCCCCCTCTCCCTTCCTCTCTTTAAAACCAATTTTTTAAAAAGTCTCTACCATTCCCATAAAAACTCCAATAAACTAAAAATATGATTAAAAACAGTACAAACTACGTTCTGACATATATGGTGTGCATCAACTATAACAAGGCCAGTAAAAATACAACTTTTATAAAACTCAACTAAGGCCGGAACCAGTTTGGCTCAGTGGATAGAGCGTCGGCCTGCGGACTGAAAGTACCCAGGTTCGATTCCAGTCAAGGGCATGTACCTGGGTTGCGGACACATCCCTGGTGGGGGATGTGCAGGAGGCATCTGATTGATGTTTCTCTCTCATCGATGTTTCTAACTCTCTATCTCTCTCCTTTCCTCTCTGTAAGAAATCAATAAAATATATTTAAAAAAAACTCAACTAAGCACATTAATACTGAGATGGGAATAATCTAGAAAACAGATTTAAGTAAGATTATATTTGGCCTCCAATAAGGTATCCTTCATTCCAATGGACTCTGAAACATTCTAATTTACACATTAGTGTAACTTTCGACTTTGGTGAGTGTATTTCAGTATCCCAGGGTGAGATAATCATTTTGGGGTGAGATGAGAGGTGTTGAATTTGTCCTGCCTTGTACTTTAGCATATAGGATTTAAAACTATGAGGTTTTGTAATAAAGTCTGTCAGAACAGCAAGACTATGATACATAACTGACATACCAATATGATGAATGCTTTCTTTGATGACCTCGCATTCTATTGGCCACCTGGGAACCTGCAGTTGCCCGCTGCAAGAGTAAAAGGCAAAGAGATCTTGGGGTTCCCGAAGACATGGGTTTACTTCACCAAAATCATCGTGAAGAAGGAGTCTGCTCCTGAGAAGTGACGAACTCAGCATAAAGGAATCTGCCAAAGGGCAAGGGAATGAGTGAGTGGCTTCTTTCTTCCTTGGGAACTTCACTGATCAACTAGAACCACTAAGTAACTCTAAGCACTACTAAAATATGAGCACAGCCCTAGGCTGGGTGCTAAGTGGTTAGAGCATTGGCCCTCGGACCAAAGGATTGCAGATTCTATTCCCAGTCAAGGGCACCTACCTTGGTTGGAGGCTTGATCCCTGACCCAGGTCAGGGCATGTGCAGAAAGCAACCAATCCATGTGTTTCTCTCACATTGATGTTTATCTCTCTTTCTTTTCCCCTCCTCTTGTCCTTCCATTCTCTCTCTCTCTCTCAAAAAAAAAAGAAAAAAAAAAGGCACAGATGTGCAATCCTATGACATATTTCTCCTTCAAGGAGATTTAGTCCAGGATGATGGCATAGAAATGATAAAAATCAAATTAAAATTTGACACAACCTATTAAATATTTAAGTGTGGCCAGGCCGGTTTGGCTCGGTGGATAGAGCATCGGCCTGCGGACTGGAGGGTCCCGGGTTTGATTCCGGTCAAGGGCATGTACCTTGGTTGTGGGCACATCCCCACTGGGGGGCGTGCGGGAGGCAGCTGGTCGATCTCTCTCATCGATGTTTCTGGCTCTCTATCCCTCTCCCTTCTTCTCTGTGGAAAATCAATAAAATATATTAAAAAAATATTTAAGTGTGAAGTTTTAAGAGTAAATTAGAAGAAACATTTTTGTGTTTTTAAAAAATCAGAGCTATGTATTTAAGACATCTCAACAGTGGGTTGCAAATGAATAAAAAATTATTTAATGTGTTCTATTACTTTTGTTTAGAGTGAGGCAAGAGAGGGAACTTTCAATTCACCCATTAGCATTTTAGAAAAATGTACATAAAACTATTAAAAACAATCTGCAAGTTAAATTTCAAGTTCAAAATATAACCATTCAAAGGACAAGAGCGACTTCGAAAACAGAGGATGATACGGGAAGTGGGAGAGTAGCGTGAATGGTCAGGAGAGAGAGAGGAGCTCTTGGCAAGTAGAGAATGAGAATAAAGGGAGGAAAAGAAAGGTTTTCAGGGAGAAAGAAAAAGAAAGGAAATGAGAGAAAGAATGAAAAGACAGAAAATAACGGGGAAGGAACGAAGTCCCCTCAGTGTGGTGATTCTCAGCTCTGGTGGGGAGAGAAGGGGTGAACATGTTCCCACAAAGGAGTTTTGAGTTTTCTGGTCTGGAGGGACATGAAATACCTTTGCTCACAGCGTCTGTCTGTTGATGTACAGCTGAGGATAGACAGGTAGGCCCTAAAAAGAGGAAGGAGGAGGCACGGTTTGTCTTTCTTTTTTCTGCCCCTTTCCATCCTCCCATCCCCACTTTTATTTCTGTCTCTAAATCTTTTCCTCACTGTTCAATTGGGGGGTGGGGCAATAAACATTTTACAATATGGTGAAGCTGTTCAATCTCATTCATAAAGAAATGTAAATCAAAATGAGAAGGAGACGTCAGTTTTTTTTACCTAATGGGAAAAGCATTTATAGGTTTGCACACTCATCCTGGCAAAGGTGTAAATAAACAGGTATTCTCAGGCACCGCAGCCAAGAAGCTCAATTGATGCAACCATTCTGGAAAGCAGTCTAGCAGTATCTAGCATGATTTATATTTACATACTCTTTTTTTTTTAAACCCTAATCCAGAACCTGGAGAAAAAATTCAAAGGTCATGCTAGCATTTATTGAGCACTTACAAATAATTAGGAAGTATAAGAATATCTGCATATATTCAATAGTGAGAAATGGTGGTAGCTTGGGCTGGGGGCAGGGAGGATGTGGAGTAAAGAGAAGCAAATTGATGTTTGGTTGAATATGTATTTAGGGGGGAAATCTATTGAATTCCTGCCCTTGGATTCTAGAAGAAATCTGTGGAATACCTTTAAAAAATTATTTTTGCTTAAGCTGGAATTGGTTTCCACCACTCTCTCCCAAAGAGCCTTAACAAATATACCCATCAAACCTGTGTGAAAAATCAATGTTTTACTCTTGACCAAATAGTTTTGCCCTAACTGGTTTGGCTCAGTGGATAGAGCATCGGCCTGCGGACTCAGGGGTCCCAGGTTCGATTCCGGTCAAGGGCATGTACCTTGGTTGCCGGCACATCCCCAGTGGGGAGTGTGGAGGAGGCAGCTGATCGATGTTTCTCTCTCATTGATGTTTCTAACTCTCTATCTCTCTCCCTTCCTCTCTGTAAAAAATCAATAAAAATATATTTAAAAAAAAAGTTTTAACAAATTTTCCAACAATTCGGAGGAAGATAATGTATATAGTATTTTAATTTAAACCTACAATCCAAAATGAGAGAGAACATTTCTGAGTGATGACAGAAACAGTGGCGAAGGCTGCTCCTCTGGCTTCTCCTACGGTAGCCCATGTTCTCCGGAATACCTAGAGCAGCTGCTCAAGGCACTGAGGGTTCTGCGGATCACACACAGGGAGTATTACTCACATAGAAGGTTCTCCTTTTCCAGGTGGTCTGGTATCAAATCATCTCTTCCCCCAAAAGAGTCACTCAAGACAAATCGGGGTTTATTCTTCCAAACATGCTGGTGCGTAGCCGCGTTTGGTACACTGCCTCTTTCATCTAAGAAAAGGCAGTTTAAATGAAAGGTGCTGGAAGGCTAGTTACCACCTCTAACATCTAGGTGCATACCCAAACCACTACTACCAACCCCCACTACCACAGGCCTTTACAACGAATACATCTCATTTTCCAAAGAGTCTTCACATTCCGATTTATTTGAGTTAAACATCATTTTCTCCATTTTACAATGAGAAGACTTGAGAGGCAGCATGATAGAGTGGAAAGAGAAAGGGCTTAGGAGGCAGAAAGACCGGGTGGCTCTAGTATAAGAGCAGCCAAGAAAGCCCCACCAAGTGAAGGCTGGTACTCCAAGTGGGAGTGGAATTGCTTTTGTCCTGAGGCTCTGCTGAATCTGGCAAACTGGAAATTCAGTTTTCAACAACTTAGTAATCACTTAAAAAATGAAATAGTTAATAGGAAAGTTTAACAAGGTTGACAGAAATAAAATCAATATAAAAACTTAATTGTATTTCTAAATACTAGGAACAAAGTTAGAAAACCAAAATTTAAAAAGATACCATTTCAACCTAAAATATGAACTTCTATGAAAGCATAAAAATATGAACTTCTATGAAAAAACTATACTAGTAGTTTTCAACACAAAATATGAACTTCTATGAAGCATAAAAATATGAACTTCTATGAAAAAACTATACTAGTAAACCTTTATTGGGAGAAATTAAGGAAGACCTAAATAAATGGAAAATACGACTATATTCAGAGATTGGAGAACCCAATACTGGGAAATTCTCAGTTCTTGTGAAATTAGATTTTATAGATTCAGTGTAATCCCAACAATTTTTTTAAACATCACAAGCCAATTCTAAAATTATATAAAAAGGCAAGAATAACCAAGACACAATCCAGCATACTGAATTTTTAAAGGCAAAACCAAAAATACTGTCTTAATGCCATTTGGTAGAATTAACGAAGAGTGGTATTAGTGTAAGGGTAGACAAACAGATAATGGGAAAGGAATATTTTTCATTAATAGTGCTGGAAAAATTCAACATTAGTTTATCCTAGCATAACTCTCCCAGTTAATGAAACAATTTACTTCAGGAACCCAGGAAAAGTGATGCTGGATAAGAACAAGGTCTTACCTTTAAAGTAGCCATAGTACTGGAGGTGATGGTACATAAAGACTTCATAGGGATCAGGAAGAGTCTGTAAAAGGAAAGGCCATCTCAATCAGGAAAGTCCTTTCAAATAGTACTGAACTCTTAACAAAAGGTAGGCAAGCACTGTTGCAGAGGTCAGTATACTTGACTTCTGTGAATAAACCAAGTGAGATATTTACACAAATCATTCTGTCTTGGGGATCAAGATCTCCAGCTAGAAAAAGGTGCCACCAGCAGATACATTCTGATCTAGTACTGGATTTCTGTGGAGTTCCTGGAGAAGGGTGTGTACCGACCTTCTGCTTCAGCTCTGCTTCCAATGCTGGGAACATGTTGCTTCTGTATGGCATACTGAAGACCAGTCTCACATAGGCATCCAGCCACAACCCTTGCCCGGTTTCCAAAAGGTCAGCTGATTACACAGAAGCTAAAAAACCAGAACAGGGCAATTGAAACACCTGCTGATAGTCATCATTCCCACCCTTTGCTTCCGCAGCTCCCCCGCGATTTTAGGAAACCCTGCCACATCGCTCCTTTCCTGCCAACTCGGTGTCTGCTCAAACAAGGACCCGGCTGGTTGTTCCCATGATGAGGCCCGGAGGCGTACCTGAGAAACTAGGGAGGGCGACACGTCTTCCAGCCTTCTCCTCCCGAGGCACCCGTACCCTTGCAGGCCCCATGCTTTCCTCTCCGCAAGCAGAAAGGTGCCGCAAGATGTGAAAAAAACGAGAAAAGTTGTCTCGGGGTGGATGGAAAAGAAAAGCCAGAGGCCCGAAATTCAGGGGTTCAGGGCTTCCTGGTCCGGGTAAGGCGTGAAGGGCAGTTTCCCGAAGGGTGGCGGCGGCGGGGAAGGGAGATTTCCGAGAAGCGCAGAGGGAAGGGTGCAACCGCCTCTGCGCTCCTTCCTGCCTGTCCCAGGCTCAGTGGAGGGCGCGGCCTAAGGTGGTTGAAAATCCTAGCGAGGCGGGAGGCCACGGCACAGCAGGTACTGATGCCCAGCTGTGCACGGGGCAGAGGAGCTAACCTCGCTCACCCGGCACCGCTTTCGGCTAGGGCGCCGGTAGCCTAGCAACCAGGAAACCAAAGCAGGAGGGCGGGGCGGCCGGCGCTTCCGGGGAGCGAGGCCCCGCCTCCCAAGGAAAAGTTGTTGCGCCCTGTTTTTGGGTAATCAATGGTAATTGGGTTAAAATACAAAGCCTGTAGTCATACTCCAAACTTCTTTGCGGTTCCATTAGGTAACAAGTAAAGCCAGCTCAACGCGAGCAATGAAAAATTACTTTCACTGGGCAGGTGTGGCTCAGTAGTTGACCTTGGACACTTGAATCAGGAGGTCACGGTTGAATTCCCGGTCAGCGCACATGCCGGGGTTGCCAGCTCCATCCCCAGTAGGGTGCGTGCACAAGGCAGCGGATTAATGATTCTCTCATCATCTCTCTCTCCCTCTTCCTCTCTGAAATCAATAAAAACATAAAAAGTAATAAAGCAATTAAAAGTATTTAAAAGAAAAATTACTTTCTACAATAAAAAACAAAAGAGACAAAGTTAAATTAAACCCACATATTTTGTAAGATTTTTAAAAATCTCAATTTGGTAGGATAGTGCCAAAGGCACTGGTGCTCTATAGAAATTTAACAGCTAGTTGACAGCCTAAATTTTTAGAAATTTGCTCTATGCAATTACAAGAAAAACAATTTAGCCTTGGCCAGTTTTTCTCAGTGGCTAGTGTTGGCCCACAGAGAAGGTTCGTGGGTTCGATTCATGGTCAGGGGCACAAATCTAAGTTCAAGTTCTCAGTCCCTGTAGGGGTGCATGTGGGAGGTGACAAGTCTGTTTCTTTCATGGCCATGTTTCTCTCTTCCCCTTCTCCCTCCCTACAAATCAATGGAAGGAATATTCTCAGGTGAGGATTAATAAAAACACACAATTTATATATAAAACGGTCACCCCAATACTTGCATAATGGTAACATCTAACACACTAGCATACATGACACTGGTTAGGTAACATTTTAAAATTATATGCATAAATATACCAAAATAAAATTTAAACTACAGTGGGGCCTTGACTTACGAGGTTCCCGACTAACAAGTTTTTCGAGATACGAGCCGTCTCTCGGCTGATTTTTTGCTTTGAGTTTCAAGCTAAAATTCGGGTTACGAGCCAGCTTCTGATACCCCACTGCTAGTTGGCGCAGTGAACGCCACATCAGCCCAGCATCACGTGTCTCACTTGTTCACTTTTTGATTTGACATACGAGTAATTTGAGCTGCGAGCTGTCACGGAACAAATTAAACTCGTAAATCAAGGCCCCCCTGTATTGTCTTTGGTTGACTTTGTATGTCCGTATCTGTAATTACAGGGTGTTCCAAAACAATGTATATACACTTTTGCATTAATTCCAATGGGTTAAATTTGAAAAAGAAACATCAAGTGTGTATTCATTTTTTGGGGACACCCTGTATGTATTACTTTTATAATCAGAGGATTGAAAAAGCACCTTTATTTTCTCAAAATGTTGAACATATTATTTCCTGGATTTTAGTAGGTTAAACATTAGCTATTATAGAGTGCAACCTCCAAAACTGAAGAAACACAGCATCTTCTGGTGCTAGAAGCCTTTTTCTAACCCTGCCTGCCCTCCAACCGATTCAAAATCTTGCTCTTTTTTAGAGCTGTCCTTTAATGTTTGCCTCCCTACCACATTTGATTAGAAAAAAATAATTACGATTGACTTGTCTTGGTTACATAATCATGAAATAACAGGTTTAGAAGAGCAAAAGGACAATCAGAAGTATAAAAAAAGCTTTATTAGTGTATATATACAAATTTACAAGGTCAGAAACTGGAGAAATACAAAGAGCTTTAAAACACAGTTTGCCTTTTCTTCAGTTTAAAGTGACTTTTACCTGATTGTGATACAATAGAAAATACAGAATAGTAAACTTTTTAAATACTGGAATTTTATGGAAAATACGTTCACACATGAAAGGGAGGTGAATTTTGGAATAAGACAATATCAACACATACAGTGGCTTCTGTTACATTTACTGCTGCAGATGTAAGGGGAAATTCTCAAAATCAAAGACCTGAACTTGTTGCTGCTGCCTGTACTGAAATTTAAATTTCATCTAGCGCACGAAATGACAGCTATCAATTCTAGAATGTGTGAGATAGAATACTTTCGGAGAGTGTGGCCATCTATCAGCACATGATAAATGACTTGATATATCCTAGCACTCCAGGGTGGCAGACTGGAGGAAGGTCAGAAAGATCTGATAATCCCAGTTAAGCAAGGTAGAATACACAGCTGCCTTCTTAATTGCACTTTTTCTGGAGTTGAAGTTAATGAGAGAGAGAACCATACTAGGAACCCTTATTGAGCCTCCATTAGGCAGGGAAAATCCTTCACTTTTTGTCAGTGTCCTCTAAAAAGGTGTCACACTCATAAGCCACATGTTCCAGAGTGATGAGGTTAATGTACCTAACATGCTGAGTTTGTCAGTGTGAGAACAAAGGCAGCCAGGTCAAAACAGTCATCTTACCCTTCAGCAAAACAGAAAAAATTTCATTTCCCAAATGTGAAAACTTCATAGGTGTTATGTTCTTGCCCAGGAAATTCAAAATCCATATGCTCTCCCTCATAACATTTATAGTTTATTGACAACATAAAACAGGTTAAGACTCTGAACTGAATACACACATCCACACACACACACACCCACACACACCCAATAAACATTTGTTTTTTAATTTTTTAAAATATTATGTGTTTGGTGCCATTTTCCTTCGTTTTAGTCTTGCTCGCCAATCTTCAGGAAGGGCTTCAAAATTAGCATTTCTCTCTGCCATGCCACTGTGAAAACAACAAACAGATTACTTCACTGGCAAGAAAAGAATGAATCGGTTCACTACCTAGTACATAAGAAAATACCTCTTAACTGAAACTGAAAATTTGACCTATCACATCTATGTTCATGAAAATGCTTCAAGTTTCTCAGCTAAGTACCAGCAAATTCTTTATCAAATTTCTTCTGATGGGTCAACAAAAGACATACACACATTTTATTTTTATTTATCTCCACAACCATTAAAGACACATTGAAGGAGTAAAACATTCTTATAAAAGTTTCTCTTGGCCACTAGGAGTTATGATTCTTTAAGGAAGATTTTTTAACCTTCAATATACCATAAGGGACCTTTGGACCTAATGTTTTAGAAATTCTTTTGATCAGTTCTATTTGTAAAGATTGATATCTCATGACAGTCATCTAAAAAATAAATTAAAGCTCATGTTCTATCTTGCAATGATCAGAATGGGTGCACTGGATGCTTTTATAAATATAAAATAATCTAAGATAAATTACAAGATCACTGTGATTGCCTCCCATAATCTTAAATCATTTGCTAATTTCATCTTATAGGAATTCATCATTCAATTCCCAGCAATACTAAAAAAGACTAAAATAAAAAAAAAAACTGAATGGAATCACCTACAAGGATGATGCAAAAGTGAAATAAACTATCACTAACACCATCCCTCAGTTTTATTGTTGCCGAAAATAGTGCATCACTTTTCAAGGAAGTAAAAAATGAAGTTTGGAGACATTTGCAGTCTTTTTTGCTTTTACAAGTATAAGATGAATGCAAAGAGACAGAGAGTGGCACTAGATTCAATTTCATAACCTAGTATTTTATAACATGAACCTGGACCATCTCATTTTCCTAAAAAGATGTGTAGCAGGAATCTTCCCCGCTTTCCGATGCTGCATGCTACAATTTATTTGATAGGGTTCTCAAGTGGACAAATGGTGAAAGCAAGTGTGCAGTGATTGGAGAGCAGTAGATATTTTAGAAACAAATTCACTGGAATGACCATTCAATTGACATATATGTATCAAAAAATGAAAAAATGTTTTCCATTATGAAGCAATGAATGACTATCTTCTCTCAAATTTTTTCTAGTGAGTACATAAAGTATGATACTACTTATTTTGTATAATTTTTTTTAACATTACAATTTTGTTATTTCCAAATGTTTTCATATGTACTGTGTTTATGGATGCTGCAAGAGCAAGAACCATAAATAATAAGCTAGACCTATCAGAGACAAATTTGAAATTGGCATCAATCACTATTTATGAGAGAAGTATGGTCCAGATTACACATGACAATTGAACAACATTAGAAGGATGCTGCTCATTTCAGTATGCGTACCTTTCAAAACTAGGAAAATAAAGAATACAAATTTGGGTTAACTATGTGTAAATTCTTATTAAAATTTCTTTTTTAAAAAATATTTTGTATTAATTTCAGAGAGGGAGAGGGAGAGAGAAACATCAATGATGAGAGATAATCATTGATCAGCTGCTTCCTGCATGTCCGCTACTGGGGATTGAGCCCGCAACCTGGGCATGTGCCCTTGACTGGAATCAAACCCAGGCTGATGCTCTATCCACTGAGCCAAACTGGCTAGGGACTTATTAAAATTTCTAATGAAGTGTTCTCCCTTTCTCTTTATTTTTACTTTGGTAAATTATCCTATGTAATAGAAACCTAATGTGCTAAGAATCTGATCGTCCATTTAACCAGTCAAAGTCTAATCCAGGGGTGGGCAAACTTTTTGACTCGAGGGCCACAATGGGTTCTTAAACTGGACCGGAGGGCTGGAACAAAAGCATGGATGGAGTGTTTGTGTGAACTAATATAAATTCAAAGTAAACATCATTACATAAAAGGGTACGGTCTTTTTTTTTTGTTTTATTCATTTTAAACGGCCGGATCCGTAGTTCGCCCATGGCTGGTCTAATCTTATCTATCTATCTATCTATCTATCTATCTATCTATCTATCTATCTATCTATCAATCATCTAAAAACCAGTGTCCGTGATGACTAGGACCATCAAACGACTGGTCACCATGGGGTGCATTAAGCACCTCTCGGTTCCTCTCTGGCAGCCCACAGGCTCCTATCGCAGCAAGGCAGGCAGCAGATGGGCGGGACTGCAAGCAGCGGTGGGCTACTGTGTTCGATTTTGTGTGCTGGGCCTCAAGTCTATAATAATAAAGTGTAATATGCTAATTAGACTGGACATCCTTCCGGACAAAGCTGGGGCTGTGAGGGAAGCCGGTGCCGGCAGCCGGGGGAGGAAGGCCTACTCTTGCACAAATTTCATGCATTGGCCTCTAGTATAATGATATGCTAAGGCTACTCAACCACTCGCTATGATGTGCACTGATCACCAGGGGGCAGATGCTCTGACCGAGAGGTTAGCTTGCTGCTGGGGTCCAGCCGATTGGGGACTGGAGATGGGCCGGACACACCCTGGAGCCCTCCCGCATCCCTCCCTGACCCTGATTGTGCACTGGGCCCCTAGTCTGTAAAATTTAAAAAAAAAAAAAAAATATGGGTTTACTGGATCCATAAGTAAATGGGGAAGTATGCTGTTTTAAAAACCATTCCTTTGCATAAGATGAGCAATTGATGGGAGAAAGTATTACAATTCTGATAGTTCTGATGTTGAAAAAGGCCAAAACATAATTTTTATAGATAAATGTTTCTATGACTTAATCACAACCCACCCCACCTTTGGTCTCTTTTCTTTTACCTGACCAGCTGCTGCTGTTTCCACTCTTCAATTCGCTTCTGTGCAGTTGATTCCCGGTCCTCTTCACTGGAACTAGAGTTCTCCTCTTCATCTAACTCACGCTGTATGCTCTGCCACTTCTTTACCAGAGATGGCATTTTTGTTTTACTCTTCTTTGCCTATAACAAAGGTTAAAGGTCAGAAGAAATTTAATACATAAGGAAATAAGTCCTTCATATGACATTAGGATCTTTTCTTAGTGCTAAGGAATAAGTAAACTTTAAAACCAAAAGAACAGAAACACAAAATAAGTACCATTCTACAGTTTCTGCCACCAAAGATTTCTACCGACTATAAACTTAATGCTTGGTTAAGAAGAAAAACTGTAAATGTAGCTATTTTATGAAATCAGGTCAGAAAAATTTCCTTTATTAGCCTTATTCTATGGAATTCAGAACTGTAGCCCTTATCTCACCTCAGAATTATGGTGCTCCCCTTTACAAATTTTAAACAGATGCAGTGTTAACATCAAGTGAAAGATAGAACTAAGAAACCAATGACCAGCTTTTCTGGAAAGAGCAACAAAGTCAATAGCAACTATTAAATATGAAAAAAGCAAGAATCTATCAAAATATGAATGATGACATTAATTCTAAGAAGGTATTATGATAAATTTTATTTTACTTCTTTTGGCTTATATTTGTTTATAAATTGTCTATGACACATATGCACTTTTGTAGTAAAGAAAAATATTGTGATATTTGCAAAAAGAGAACTATGTATCTGTCATACTGCTTCCATGCTTCCCCCCACTGCATTTTTAATGAAAATAAAAAGATATTTTTATTGATTTCAGAGAGGAAAGAAGGCGATAGAAACACCAATGATGAGAGCGAATCATCTATTGGATGCTTTCTGCACCCACACTACCGGGCATCAAGCTTGCAAACTGGGCATGTGCCCTGACCAGGAACCAAACCATGACCTCCTGGTTCATAGTTTGGGGCTCAACCACTGAGCCATGCCAGCCAGGCCTTTCACTGCATTTTAAAACACTTAACATTTATTTGCTTATCTGTCTTCCCAATTCTATTCCTGTATTTCCCCCAATCAGCCAGTAGAGAAACTCTACAAAAGCAGGAATTATATTTGTTTTACTACCAAATCCCAAGCTCCTAGGGAGAATGCCTGATAAATAGTATGCATTCAAAATATACTGGTTGACATGTGTAATTAGTTATGTGAAATTAGAGAGCCATTGTATTAGAAATTGTTTTTAAAGAGGAGCAATGATTCTCCCTCATCATTGATGTTTCTATTTCTCTCTCTCCCTTCCTCTCTAAAATCAATAAATATATTTTAGCCCTAGCCAATTTGGCTCAGTAGATAGAGTGCTGGCCCATGGACTGAAGGGTCCTGGGTTTGATTCTGGTGAAGGGCACATGCCTGGGTTGCGGGCTCAATTCCTAGTAGGGGGCGTGCAGGAGGCAGCTGATCAATGATTCTTTCTCATCATTGATGTTTCCTCCCTGAAATCAATAAAAATATATTTAAAATGTATTTTAAAAAAAGAATGTCTTAAACGCACACCATATTCTATGCAAACAGTGATCAAGACAAAATAGGCTATAAGTAAAAGTTATAAAAGATAAACAAGGATATTATTTGATAATAAAAGGGTAAATCCAAATAAATTAAAATAATACCACTTACAATAGCATTGAAAAGTGTAGGGAGCAGCTAAAGGGTTAAGCCTGGGACTGACCTGTTGGCAAAACCACAAACAAGTCCCAGCTTAGAGGGCATAGCCCTCTTAGCATAATTAGGCTTGACTTTATGAGCTCCCTAGATCTTATCTGGGTAGCTAATGGGCTGTGGGAGGTGCAGTAGCAGTGCTGCCAAAACAAGTGAAACTCACAAGAAAACTGTAAGTATTGGTGACCACTACCTTGTTTACCTCTGCCTATAAAATAAAGGCTCAGCTTGCTGTCTGGGTCTCTCTCTGTGGCCTCAGCCAGGCACAGGAGATCCACCTAGACACAGCTTATTCTCTCTGTCTTACATCCTTCCACATCCCCCCTCAGGCTCACTGAACCTTTCTTTGACTGAGCTGGCCCGGCACACAAAAGAATAAAATACTAAGAAAAATATAGCCTAGTAGGTAAAAGACTTGTACACTAAAAACTACAAAACATTTCTGAAATAAACTGAAGACCTAAATAAATGAAAAGGAATCCTGTGTTCATGGATTAAAAAATTCAATTAAAATTGTTAAAATGGCAATATGACTCAACAGATTAATGCAATCCCTATTAAAATTTCACTGGCATTTTATGCAAAAACTAGTGGCCCGTTGCACGAAGATTCATGCAATAGGCCTTCCTTCCCCTGGCTGCTGGCACCGGTTTTCCTCCGGCACCCAGGACCCAGACCTTTGGTCCGGCCACAGCAGCAAGGCTTGGCTTCTCCACTCCGGCTGCTCCCAGCCCCTCCTTTTTATTTTATTTTTTTCTAGCCCCTTCTTGAGTGGAGCCCAGGGTGGGTGGGAAGCTTGGTTTCCTCCGTTGCTGGGAGCAACCCAAGCCTTCTGCTTCCAGTTCCATGGCCACCGCCATCTTCAGCCCTCTCCGTGCCTGCATATGCAAATTAACCACTATCTTTGTTGGGTTAATTTGCGTAGTTGCTCTGATTGGCTGGTGGGCATAGCGGAGTGACACCAATTTGCATGTTTCTCTTTTATTAGTGAAATTTAAAGCTGACCTTTAAATTCATATAAAAATATAAGGGCAGAGATGGGGGCGGTGGCATTTCCAAAGGTAATAGAGGTTGATGAAGCAAAGACTCAATTGGACTGAGGAAGAGTCCAGAATGGAGTCAAGGGGCCTAAATAGCCAATATTGAAAAAGTACTACTCAATTTCAAAACATATTATAAAGATATTGTAATCAAAACATTGTAGTACTAGCATATAGACCAGTGGTTCTCAACCTTCTGGCCCTTTAAATACAGTTCCTATGTTGTGACCCAACCATAAAATTATTTTCGTTGCTACTTCATAACTGTAATGTTGCTACTGTTATGAATCGTAATGTAAATATCTGATATGCAGGATGGTCTTAGGCGACCTCTGTGAAAGGGTCGTTTGACCGCCAAAGGGGTTGCGACCCACAGGTTGAGAACCGCTGATATAGACCAATGGAATAGAATTGAAAGTTCAGAAATAAACCCATACATTCATGGTGAACTGATGGGTACATACCTCAGTTGCAGCCTCTGGTTGGGGCATGTGCAGGAGGCAATCAATTGATGTGCCTCTCTCACATTGATGTTTCTCTCTGTCTCTCCCCCGCCCTTCCATTCACTCTCAAAATCAATGAGAAAAAATACCCTCAGGTGAGGATTAACACAAACAAAATATAAATAAAAATAAATAAAAGGACACGATCAGAATGAAGACAACCCTCAGAGCAGGATAAAATACTTTCAAATCGCATATCTTAATGGGGACTTTTACCTGTAACATATACAGAACTCTTATAATTCAATAACAAAAGACAATCAAATTAAAACGTGGACAAAGGGCCCTGGCCACATTTGCAGCTTAAAAAACATGGGTCTTGGCTATTGTGGCTCGGTTAGTGTTGACCAGTGCACCAAAAGGTTGCCAGCTAGATTCCCAGTGAGGGCACATACCCACGCTGTGGGTTCGATTTCTAGTTGGGGGTGTGTACAGGAGGCAACCAATCAATGTTTCTTACTCGCTCTCACCTTTTCTCTCTAAAATCAATTTTTTAAAAATTTAAAAAATTTATTAAAAAAAAAGACAAAGTACTTAAGTAGACATTTCTCCAAAGATATACAAATGGTCAACAAGCAAATGAAAACATACACAATATGATTACTCACTATAGAAAGAGAAATCAAAACCACGAGAAGATGCCACTTCTTGGCCACTAAAACTTGTATAACAATTTTTTTAAAAATAAATTTTTATCGATTTCTGAGGGGAAGGGAGAGGGAGAGATTGAAACATCAACGATGAGAGAAAATCACTGATCAGCTGTCTCCTGCATGCCCCCCACCGGGGATTAAGCCCACAACCCAGGCATGTGCCCCTGACCAGAACTGAACCCGGGACTCTTCAGTCTGCAGGCTAGTGCTCTATCCACTGAGCCAAAACAGCTAGGGCTGTAACAACTTTTTAAACACAGAATCATCCTATGACTCAGCAATTTTATTCCTATATACCCAATAGAAATGAAAACAAGTACTCAACATACATGTACTCATATGCACATTTATATCAGTACTATTCATAATAGCTAAAAGGGGATAAAACAATGTCCATCAATGAATGCATAGACAAACAATTTGTGATATATACAAATAAGAACCTTTATTCAGCTATAAAAAGGATGAAGTACTAATACTAATACATGCTACAACATGGATAGACCTCGAAAACATTGTGCTAAGTAAAGGAAGCCAGGCATTGAAGGTCACATATTCATGATTTCAGATTAGGTAAATCCACAGAGACAGAAAGCAGATTGGAGGTTCCCAGAGACTTGGGTAAAGAGGTGATGGGGAATGGCTACTTAATGGGTACAAGGTTTTATGCTGAGTTGATGAAAATGTTTTGTAACTAGAGAGAGGTGGTGGTTGCACATTGTAAATGCTATAGAATTATATACTTTAAAATGGTTAAATTTATATAAATACCATCTTAATAAGACATTTTTTCAAATAAAAACTAGAAAGGAGATTTACTATACCTTATCTTTCTTTCCTTTTTTTGTCTTTTCAGGTGGTGGCACTTTGGGAGCTGGTGGTGGTGTTGATGGAGGAGGAGGTGGAGGAGGTGGAGGTGGCAGTGGTTCTACAACAGCAGTTGTAGGCACAGCTCCTCGAGCTGGGACTGGCTGCAATGTGGGAGCAGTCACTGCCATTTGGACAGAACATTCAGCATAACTCATAATTGCAGAAGCTGATGCCAGTCCTAGGTAATTTGACTGTAAGCTTATTCCTCTGGCCTGATGACCTATACCTGTTGCTGGATGGCTAACTGATGATACTGCCTGGTGTCCAATCCCTGTAGACTGTTGTCCAGTCCCTGTTGACTGGTGACCTAACACGGAAAACATAAAATGAAACTTTATGTTCAAAGGGCAAAAACAAGAAAAAGAAGGAAAAGGGAACCGAGGAATTTGTAGATCAACGTATCTTTTCCTAAACAAATAAACAAGCCACATTTTCTGGTAGCAAAATGTTAATTTCTTAATACTTTTTAGCATTAAGGTACCTGAACATAAAAATCATTGATGTTATGTAAATGCACAGAAAACAACCTGGAAGGAAACATAACCAAACTGTTAATAGTAACTGAAGTGTTTATCAAGTGAAAAGAAACACATACAGTCCTTGCAGTGAAAACCCATTAAAATTTCTTTACGACATATAATTCTGGAAACAAAGATATAAAACATCGAAGAAAACATTTTAACCATAATGCTTACCTGTAGCTATAGCTGATTGGCTGTACAGGACTGGAGAACTACCAATGGTAGCTGATCTCTGAACTACTGCAGTACTAATTTCTGTAGCTTTTCTCTTTACAGCTTTAGTGGAAGGAGAACTAGAGGTGGTAGAATCAACTGAACTCTGAAATGCAAAAGATCCTAATCAGTGCTGCAAAAGGCCCTAAACATCTTCTAAAATAGAACATGGTGTCAATTATGCCCGAGTCCCCGGAAACTCTTTAGGATGTCAAATGGCATTCTCACCTGGCTAGTTACAATTGTAGTTTGTGTAGGTTTCAATGGAGTATCCTCCTCTGTTCCTGGGGCAGGAGGCTCCTCATTTCCCTCATCCTCCATCTCTACCTCCTGGATCTCACTATCTTCTACAGGAGGAGGAGGGGGTGGAGGAGGAGGAGGAGGAGGGGGTGGAGGAGGAGGAGGAGGAGGGGAGTCCGGGGGTGGAGGTGGGGGTGGTGGCATTTCCAAAGGTAATGGAGGTTGAAGCACAGGCACATTTGACTGAAGGAGGGTCCAGAATGGAGTAAGTGGCATGAGTGATGAAGAAGACACTTGACCAGAAAAGGACTCTTTACAAAGAGAACCTAAAAAACCAAACAGGAGTCAGGGAAAAGGCAAGACAAAAACTCCGTATTTACAGAAATGCGCAATTGAGTGGTGAGACAAAATCTGACCCACAAATCTATTCTACACTGATGCCACTGAAATATTAAATAACTCAGTTCAAAATGATTCTCATGGAAAGATAAATTTATAACCCTCACAGCACTCACCCTAGCTATGAAATACCAATTTTGTTCTTTGGGTCCAGATTTATGAACAAGTAAGTGAAGCACATCACATCAATCCAATGAGAAATTCAGTCATCTGAACCTACACTAGATTTCAAAATACACAACCTGGCTTTAGCTGGGTAGCTCAGTTGGTTAGAGCATTGTCTGATACACCAAGGTTTCAGGTTTGACCCTCGGTGAGGGCACATACAAGAAAGAAGCAATGAATGCATGAATAAGTGGAACAACAAAAACCAATGTTTCTCTCCCCCTTCCTCTTTCTAAAATGAAAAAAAAAACCCCTACCAAACCACAACTAGAAGACAACACTCTACGTTCTTTTTAGAGTGAGGAGCGGGGAGTGATGCGCATTTGCGGTACTGATTCCATGTATTTTTAGTGGGCTAAACAAGTATTTGAGGATAACCCAGAACTCCCACACAAATCCTATCCATTTTAATTAATTTGGGTTACTAAAGTTAAAAAAATCCATTTGCAAGGTGCTATTGTCAAACCTATCATTCCTTCACATTTCTGAAGGAACTGTGAATTATACTCATTTGTTAAATCACAGCAACACAAACCAGGAGGGTAATTTTATTTGTGACGAGAAAAGGGAAATTTAGGGGAATAAATCCTCAAGGTAAATGATAACTCAGAGGTGTTTGAAGATGCAGAGGATTTGAAATTGCTGTTGAATTCTGAGTTAAATTACAAGCTGAAAAGCTGTAGGATCAGCTTTCCTCTGGTTTTGCAAAATCCAGTTAACTACCGTCCTTTCTCTGCTGGGAAAAGCTTTAAGGATTAGAGAAAATAGGAGGATATACTTACTTGTAGCCTTCCCCATCCCTCTTTATCGTCAATAGGGAAGTTTCACAATATATGAAACTATTAGATATATATCCCAGGAATGTTGAAGGGGATTTTCTCCCTAAAAATCATAGAATTTAGGAGTAGAAGAGACATGAGAAATCATCTAGTTCAACCTTCTCTTTTAGAGGTAATGAAACCCAGGAAGGAAATAAATTGCCCAAGATCATACAGCTCTTAGTGGCCAGTTATGACTCCTAGTCTAGTGCTATTTTTACCAAGATTTCCTGGTGAAATAGCAAAAGTCCAAGAGCTTTAGAAATCTCAAATCTCACTTCTCCTGGAGTAGAGATCCAGATGCAGGTACCTGTTAAATTTCATGGTCAAAAGCAGTGGATTAGGTAAGGGCTCTATTATAAAAGGCTCTGGGACAAGGATAAACATTTTACTGTAGCTTGCTGAAAATACACCACACAAGGGCATTCAACAAAGTGACCATGAACCATTTGGCTTTTATATTAGCTTTACTTTTCATGGATCAGAAAAATGACACATTATGTAAGACTAAGAATCTGATTCATATGGTTACTGTAATTATTTTGAGCTGTTTACTACTAAAGAGCACAGAAAAAATTCATCAGAAAACAGAAATGCAGTTTTCTAGTTAAAGACTTCAAATATGTCATTTAAGACTTTAAAATATGTCATTAAACTTGTATTTGATTATATCAAATATGAATTTAAACACTAACTTTTAGACAAATAAAGTCTTGGTAGGACTATATTCTAATAATATATCAGAATTACATCAGAACTAAGGTAATAAACATTACTAAACTTCCTTCTAATAAACCAACCACAACATATGGTTGGTAAAATGTCAGATTTTATATAATGGCAGATATTGCATCTAGAAGCATAATGCAGTGCCAATACGGTAATGATGGTGATATGCTGCTGTGCAAAGGAACTCAAGAAAACATGGGTTCAAAATTAATAATGTGATTCACAACTCCCAAAGTTAATCAGAATTAAACTTTGTAAATATAAGGCAAACTAATCTTGATAAACTTTGCAGTAAACAAAAGCATTTTAGAGTTAATATTTGAATCTCAAACTACATTTACTTAAGACAAAAGCTGTGCCTTAACATTCATTGATTATTTTCTTTAGCTTAAATACAAAGAACGTCAAGAAATCTAGTTTGAATATTCATGGATGTCATAATGCTTTTCTTCATTTCTAAATGTAAACCAGTTGTTATATATTTTGAAGTCTGAAGTCCAAGGAGAGATTAAAATGGTATACACAGCTTTTATTATATGCTAACAGATTAAAAAACTGTAAGCTTAAAGACAGTATAGTGCGGGGAAACAAATTTTAAATTCTTTAAGAACATACCTTTTCTATGCATCTTTATTTTTATTTATGGATAGGCTTCCTTTGTTTTTGTGTATTTCCCTGAGAAAATTTTGCTTAGTATTTTGAGCCAAGAGGCCAGTTTAGCAATGTAAAGCAAGAAGTTATTATATAAATAACAGGTCCCACAGAGACTTTTTTTTGAAAAAGCAGATATATTTAAACTAAGTGACACAGTCCAGTAAGACAGACATATTGGGTATCTTGAAATATTGCTTATCTTTAGAGACATGTTAAATTCAAACACTGATTATAATAAATAGAACTCTGGAACTTCCTTGCTCCACAGCGTAGTAATTTTTCTTCTTTAAAAGATGGTTTAGCCACTGCTAAACTGACTAAGAGCACATATTAGAAACTTTCTTCATAGGCTTAAAATAGTGATCAGTATTGCTTTTAAATCCTTAAGGCCTACATACAAATTTGGATTCTCTTTACATCAAGTTTACCATATGGTTTTAGTGATTCTCTCAATAAAGATGCTGAAGAATGTAAGATGGTCTATCTCTGGCTTTTCCCTAAAGGTCTTCCAACTAGTTGTGTCACAAAAAAACCCCCAGACAAAATAACTTATTACTTAACTCTAAGGTGGTCATTTTAGACTATCCAGCTTTGGAACATACAAAAAAGGGACATCAGACAGTGGTCAGGAGTGGAATTACCTTCCCAGAACCATCACTACGCCTCTTACGTTTACTAACTACAAAAAAAGCTAACAATAAAACCAACTTATTAGACTCTGTCTGTCTGCCTATCTATCTAAACTATCACTGCTACCAAAAGAATGGGAAATTAAAAGTAAAATATCCCATAACCTGAAAAAATGTATTTCTATGAAAAATGAGGTAGAATAAAACCACTCTTTTGCTGTTATAAAATTATCACTGCAGTGATATGTGGCTTTTTATTTAGAGCAATCTGATAACAATTCCTAGACTATTTAAGAAATTAAAATCACGACTAGTTTCATTTGCTACATCATCAGAATTTTTCTACTGAGATTAGGCAGTACAAAACATCTTTTTGATAAGCAGAGGATAAAAGAATTGATTTTTACTCCCTTATTTCCCAACAAATTCCGCCTCTTTTTATCTTCAAAGGTTTATTACTTTGGAATCCACTCTTGGTCTCTTGCCTTCATATGCCATCATTTTAACAAATAGCTACCAGTTTTTTAGATCAAACGGTTAGTCAGTCTTAATCAATACTTCATTATTCACTTATTTTTGTTATTTCAAGATGGACTTTAAGGGAAAAAATATGTATCATCTTCCGTAACGTGGAAATCAAGCCACGACTCTTAGAAGAGCTATCAGATTCTCAGAGTAACTGAGGAACTATGGAAACCTCACTCCCCCTTTTAATGTTCAGCCGGTCCTCGAATTTTATCATTTTGTTATAACGTCAATGAGATGACATAGGAAGTTAACTCGTTTAATTAATTAGCCTATGGTAAAAGTTATTTCATTATACATTGTTTTGCTTAAAGTAACAGAACCTACCAAAGAGTTAAGTGAGGACTTCTGTATTTAACTGAAGTGAAGAGCTCTGACAGTACTTTAAATGTGTTAAGCCATTCTGATTACTTTATAGAAGAATGTTGACTATTTGCAATGATAAATTATTTTGTTTCTCTGAACAAGTATGGTCCTAATTTCACAGCATTTCTTCAGATCATTATGATTTGTGGCAACCACACTTCTTATAGGACTTTTTATAAGTGGAGCTGAAAAATTAGGTTATGCTAGTTCTACAGAAAGGTGGAACAAATCTCACATTACTCCACATAGATATTAACAATTCAACAATCTAGTCCCTTAGCAATAATTAGCATTCCGTTATTGGAAATCCACAGCTTGTCTGTGACATGAGAGTGGTTATGGGACAGCATTTTAAAATCAAAATACACTGGCTCATCATTTCACTTTTTTATCAATGGTATGCTGATTTCCAATCAGTCACTGTCTGTTTTCTTCAGTCTAACTTCTGCAATTTTTTTAGGTCAAGCCACTAGTTTTTTATTAAAAATCTGTTACGTTTTAAATAATTTCCTTTTTTTTTTAAAAAAATTATTTCCTTTTTTAATGATCTCAATACAAGTTTTTTTTCTAAATTCTCTCCAATTAGTACAGGGCAAATTGTCCCACCTGTGGAATTCTCAGAGGGTTCTGCAGAATTTGAATCAGTGCCAGTTTTGTCTTTCAAGGTCTGTTTAGGAAGAGTCTCGTCTTTACTTTCTTGTGCTTGGCTTTCTTCCTCCTCCTCCTCACCATCTGGGAACTCCCACTGAGACTCGCCCGAATGTTCGTTTACATAGAAATATCGTCTATGATCCCTAAATTACAAGAAAGAAAAACGCATGTCTTAAGACCCATTCTCCAACAAAGACACTTCCATTTGGTCCTGTCCCAGGACAGCAGTCTGCTCTCACAGGGACGAACCTCTTCTTAATGGACTGCTATTCACAAAGGCAACAAAGAGCTTTGACATTTGAGGATGGAGAACCAAGGAAATTCAAAGCTATTTGCACTGCCAGCAGCTCTGTGAATACAGCCCTGAGCCCTCTCAACTCCAACAGATGACTTAGAAAACACCTCTCATATTCAGATCTTTTTTTTTTTTTTTGGCCAATGCTTTTCAGGATTTCAAGTGTCATTAACAGAGGGACTCAATTTCCTAGAACACTAATTTCCCTTCCAAAGAAGAGAACAACGAAGTTTGCGAAAGGTGACTCTTCCCCTCTTGGACCGTGGAATTCACATTTCATATTCTTGATACCAAACACAGTGAAAGCTAAAGAGAGGGAGAGTATCTGGGAGCTGAAAAATAAAAGAGCAAAGATTTCAAATAACGAAAAAAAAATCAAGAAAAGCCAAATATAAAAAGAAATGTTTTCATCTGACCTGCTGGCAGAAGATAGTAATCTTGTTCTTCATTCACATCTTCAGCCACGAAGCTTTCCTTAACTTCACCGAGGTTAATCAGGAGTAGTTGCTTCCAGAGGTCCTGTAAAGCGCACAGAGCTCTCGCATGCGCTTAACCCCCAAGCCCGCCCTACTCCGTGCAACACTCTGGAGAGTGAACCAGCTTGTCCAATCTTGGAAAAAAATCCGTTACATGGAACACTGTAAACATTGATTTGTGTTTCTCCAACATGTGGCTGGCGCAAACTCTGTAATCGCTTGTGGTGCTTTGCCTGCCAAGCACCGCTAACTGCAGCTGCTCTCAGTCTCCAGACAGGCTGTCATGTTGTCAAGGTGGTGGTGATCACAAATCATGTCTGAGATGTCAAAGGTGAAAGGTGAAAAGGGGAGAAGAGTGCGTACCTGTCCCAGTGGCAGGACCAGCCTTTAGGAGTGGCGTTTATTTCATACTGTTTTAGTTGTTCTGCTGCATCCTGAAGTTTTCGTTTAAGGTAGTTTCCATTAAGAGCACCTTCCCGCCAGTCTGCAATCCGAGTCTAAAATCAACGAACAGCAATAAGTGTTAAAGACTTACTATTATTTCAGGAGACAGAGATAAGAAGTTCACGAGTCTTCTAGTCTGTGAGTGTATTATTATACCGTGGCAGGAGTAAACCAAAGAGGAACATCAACAAAAATCCCATCTTAATTACCTAAAAAATCTTGTTTGCCTGCAGTTTCCTGAAAAATGAGATTGGACCCCAGTACATTTTTACACTGCCAACTCTCCTGTCCTGTGAAAATGAGAAGCAGTTTTGGTTTTCCCCTTTAGATTATATTAAGATTGGTTCCCCAATAATTTTGGATAGATAGTTCATTCAGTTTAGCAATGTTATTAACCAAAGTAAAGGTTTAGTTCATAGGGAAACCAGTCAGCTTCCTATAGGAGTTCATTACCTAATCCTACCCTACATTTTGTATAGTATGCTGGTTACAAATATGACTGATAACTTTTCTTTTTAAATGGATTTCTAATGCTTTAACAATTATAAAATAATTTCAACATTATATCACCTTATTGGATCATTATGAAGAATTTTAACTTACTAGAAATAAATTGTATTAAAATATATGCCCTTTCAGTTGTACACCTGAAATGTTATTAACCAATGTTACCCCAATACATTCAATAAAACATTTATGACTACTGAAGGTAGTAGAGTATAAGCATCATCATTTTATACAAACTCTCAGTATTCATCTTAATAATTGTATTTTGCTTTAGCTAATACAGTTTTATTTCCTGGGTTAGCAGTTAAAATATGCATCAAGGTTAAACATTCAAATTCAGGAATAAAACATAAACAAGACAGATTCTTCACTTGTAGCATTTCATTTAAACACTGACTATACCAAAAATGGCTAATTACCTCAGTCTGTAAGAGCAGCACATGAAAGTTGGAGATGGACTGTCTATTAATGCCTAAAAATTCAAATTTACTCATCAGGGTATTTGCTAGTTCTCCAATCTGAAACTGTAATGCAGGAAAGAAAAAAAATTAAATGGAATCAGCAATATTTTCTGTATTAAATAAAATCTGGTATTATTATACACACTAAAAATATGGGTCTCAAGTAGCTGCATCCAAATAGTTATGCAGAAGATAAGTTTATAATTTATAGCAACGTAACTCCAATAAAATGAAGAATAATGACAGAAGGTTGAGAGAAATTAAATGCGTACCTACTGTAACACAACATGGAATTCAACAGTTGAAAACAGATCTGAAATGATGCAACTCTTGGTATTGTTCAAACTATCATTTATCCATTATTGTGTATACTGGCCACAAACTGAAAAATATTAATTCTCCCAGTCCTTTACTAGCTGTACACTACCTAGTAAATAAACTCTTTAAGTCAAAAGGATATGCTAACTGGTTTTCCCACAAACCAATTCTAAATAGCCACATACTTAATATAGGCCAATTCTCCTATTAGAAATGACATCAACCAAAGGACTTATATGCATGCATATAGGCCTAACCAGTGGACACAGACAACAGGGGGTGAGGGCATGAGTGAGGAGGGGACAGGGGGTAATGTGGGGATAAGGACACATATATAATAACTTAATAAAGAAATTAAAAAAATCATCCCATGTCATAGAAAAAAAAATGACATTGGAAGAGAATTTGCCTTTGTGTAAGGACATGTAGTTCATGTAGAAATTAAATTTATGACTTTTAATCTCTTTAGTACTTCCAGACTAAAGAATCCTTTACATCCTGGCTGGTGTGGCTCAGGGGTTGAGCCAGGAGGTCAGTTAGATTCCATCAGGGCACATGCCTGGGTTTCAGGCTTAATCCTCAGTAGGAGGCTGCAGGAGGCAGCCAATCAATGATTCCCTCTCATCACTGATGTTTCTCTCTCCCTCTCCATTCCTCCCGAAATCAATAAAAATAATTCGGGTGTTCTTGGCCAAGTTGTTCACAGAACGGATAGCTTGGTTGTTGAACCAAAGTTACAAACTTTTCAAGCTGGTAACTCAGCATGACAAAAAGCGTCTCAGACAACCAACAAAGGAGAGAATGCTTTTATTGCTTGCAAATTAACCATTAGCACAATTTTAAAACATAAAGAGGCCTTCATGAGTGCTAATGCTGTTAAGGGTGTGATCACAGACAATTGAAGAGGTAGAAAAACTGTTGTTGATTTGGATAAAGAAAAGCAGTTAGCCAGTGACAAGCCATTATGGAGGCAGTGATATATGAACAAGTTAAAGATGCTGCATGATGACCTGAAAGAGGTCCCTGGACCAAATGCTAAAAGTCATTCGTTTAAGTTGAGTAGGTAGAGGTATCGATATATATAAGAAAATAAATGTTTATAGATTAAACAGTACATCAGATATGTACTATATATAAGAAAGGTTAAAACAGAATCATTTGGGGGTTTGGAATGGATTAACTCAATGACCCCACTGAGCCATGCCAGTCAGGCTCAACTGGTATTATCTCTAATGGGAAAAAATGATTTGGCTTTCCAACCAATTGCTTGTCGAGATGCCTTCCAGAATGGATTAAGCTCAAGAACTGAGGTTCCACTGTATTTCATAAGCTATTGCTTTCTAAAGGTGGCTTCTTGTAAGAAATTAATTAAGAATTTATTAGATAATTTATCTACATAAAGTCAGTCTTATAATTCCTTATTTCAGTCTTAAATATGACCTTTTCACCTAAGTAAATAATTTAGATTTGGAGATAAAGATTACTTTTACTACTTGCTAATAAAAGTAATTTAATGGTTAGCTAATTTAAAAATATTTGTCAAATTACATTAAGGAATATGTATACATACTTTTAAATCCTGTTCTTCTTCTACTTTAGGTGCTGTTTGTACTTTATTCTTCTCTGAAGATTCTTCTACTTCCATTTCTTTGTCTGAATTCTCATCTATTTTTTCTGAATTTTCAGCACCAATTGCTGCAAAAAAAAAGCCACAACAAAAAAAACACATAAAATTAATTCTAAGGGACAATACTGATAGAGCCCCATAAACATTTTCTTACCCCTGTAGAAGAGAGATCTGAAAAAGTTTACAAATTCTCTCTGCTGCTCGTGTTTCTTTCTTGTTAAAGAAGCCCTAATGCCTTGGCCAGTTTGGCTCAGTGCCTGGAGTGTCAGCTTGTGCACTGAAGGGTCATAGGTTTGATTCCTGGTCAAGGACACATACCTGGGTTGTAGGTTCCATCCCCGGCTCCAGTGGGGGCAAGTGAGGGAGGCAACCAATTGATGTGTCTCTTCCACATCGATGTTTCACTCTCCCTCCCTCCCTTACACTCTCTCTAAAAAAAATAATTGGGAAAAATATCCTTGGGTGAGGATTAACAACAAAAAAAGCCCTAATGATTTATCAACTTATTATCTTTTTTCTTTTTTGAAAAAATATATTTCATTGATTTTCCACAGAGAGGAAGGGAGAGGGATAGAGTTAGAAACATCGATGAGAAACACCGATCAGCTGCCTCCTGCACACCTTCTACAGGGGATGTGCCCGCAACCCAGGTACATGCCCTTGACCGGAATCGAACCTGGGTCCCTTCAGTCCGCAGGCCGACGCTCTATCCACTGAGCCAAACCGGTTTCGGCTCAACCTATTATCTTGATAACCAAAAAAAGTTCTCTCTCATAATCACCTTTCTTAAAATGGGCCTATTTGTTTACATCATTACTCTGTAGTTTCTGCTTTCCCTTTCTCCTTTATTAATCTTTTCTAATCTCCTCTTTCAGAATACCACAAATTCACTTACTTACAAAAGCTAGATATCAAACTCAGAATATCTGAGGATTATCAAGTGAGTTCTGAAAAAAGAAAAAAGACTTTCTTTTTATTTTATTTAAAAAAGTTGTGATTTCAGAGAGGAAGGGAGAGGGAGAGAGAGAAACATCAATGAGAGAGAATCTTTAATTGGCTGCCTCCTGCATGCCCCCTACTGGAGATCGAGCCCATAACCAGGAATCGAGCCATGACCGCCTGGTTCATAACTAGTGAGACACACCTGCTGGCCAAAAGGCTTTCAAAATCAGAGCAGCATTTTAAACTACCTAATAACTTCATTTCTGAACTGGCTAAGACCTGTAGACAATCTGTATTGGACCAACCTACTCTTCTGGTTGGCGCTGATTCTGTTAGTGACGGGAATCTCCAAAAGAACACGTTTACCACCAACTTGGAGAACAGGATAAGAGCTCTAGCCCTGGCCAGGTACATCAGTTGGTTAGAGATCATACCAATACACCAAGGTTGGGGGTACAATCCCAGTCAGAGCACATAAAAGGAGCAACCAATGAATGCATAAATAAGTGGGTCAACAAACTAATGTTTCTCTCTCTAAAATCAATTAAAAAGAAAAAAAAAGTTAGCCCTGGCCAGTGTGGTTCAGTTGGTTCGAGTGTCGTCTATACACCAAGATAGCTGGTTTGATTCTTAGGGCACAAAGGTTGCAGGTTAGATCCCAGTTGGGGTGTATATGGGAGGCAACATCAATGTTTTTCTCTCCCTCCCTCCCTCCCTTGATCTCTAAAAATCAATAAAAAAACATATCTTTAGTGGAGAATTAAAAAATAAATAACAAATATGAACTCTTTGTTAGGCTTGCTTCAAAACACCTGCTTAACAACTAATCCCCATATAAAATGTAATTTTTTCAGTCATGAGAACCACTTTAAAAAAAAAAAACACAATCAAATTTGAGCCCGGCTGGCATGGCTCAGTGGTTGAGCGTCAACCTATGAACTAGGTCAAGGTTTGATTCTGATCAGGGCATATGCCCAGGTTGTGGGCTTGATCCCCAGTGTGGGTACACGGGAGGCAGATCAATGACTGATTCTCTCTCATCACTGATGTTTCCTCTCTCTTAAATTAATAAAAACAAACTTGTAAAAACTGTCCATCAACGGGGGAAGAGTTAAATGTAAAAAAGACTTCCAGCTTGGCCGGTGTGGCTCAGTGGTTGAGCACCAACCTCTAAACCAGGAGATCACGGTTCGATTCCCAGTCGGGGCACATGTCTGGTTGCGGGCTTGTGCAGGAGGCAGCTTATCAATGATTCTCTCTCATCACTGATGTTTCTATCTCTCTCTCCCTCTCTGAAATCAATAAAAGTGTATATGTATAAAAAAGAGACATCCATACCACTTTGTGGTTAAAAACAAAGATTTTCAAGCCATGTTTTTAAGTGAAAAAAATTATGTTGCCTAACAATCTACAGGGCTAATCTCATCTCATCCATACAATAATATGTTCATGTATACATAACTTTAAATGTAAAAGGTCTAGAATATATATGTAGGTAAAGGAGAATGGATGACCTTAGGGGTTTAGAACGAGAATAGAGCAAAGATGAAGGGGGTCTTTTAGAATTCTACTTCAGGTTCTTCTATATTGTTGATTGAAAAGAAAAAAAATCAAACAAAGATGTTTTCATTTATCTGTTTTTGTTCATTTGTTGCTTTTTTAGCCATAACCTATAAGGTATCTTCTTCTGCTAGATATACCGTATTTGCCGGCGTATAAGACGGTTTTTGGGCCCTGAAAAATATGCCTCCAAGTGGGGGGTCGTCTTATACGCCAGGTACACTTCAGATAGACTGCCCATAGTGCTTGCCCCGTGCCATAGTGGCCTCCCGATGCCCGCCCACTTCATTCCACATACCGTTCAGGC